CAAACACGCACTCATCACGCCGAGCGTTGAGGAGCTTTGCGACAGCCTCACGAGCTTCGTCTAGATACTTCGCGTGGTATCGGCGGATGTATGGATCTGGCCGCACATCGGCGAGATCCATGAAGGCACGCTGTGCGTCCTTAACCGGAATCGGATGGGCACCAAATGACCCATGGTTCAGGTTCTTATAGGCAGGATCGAACAGCCAGTGCTTCAGCATCGGCTTGCCGAATGGAGTTGATTGAGTTGTCGCGGTCATGATGTTGGGGCAATGCAAGAAATGCTAGTCGGATAAGTTCGGAACACCGCAACGTCAACGGGAGGAAGAGAATTTAAACACAAAAAACGAGGCGCAATGACTGAAGTTGGCTCTGTGATGACTTTATCACTGCTTCAAATATCGAGAGGTCTGATCCTTTAAGGTGAGTCACGCCGAGCCAATGACGACTGCGAAGACGACCCCTCCTGCGATGCTAACCGGAGATCCACATGTCACCGAAGGGCGTAAAAGTGGAAAATTGCTTGGAAAGCTGAGATGGAGGATGCGCATGAGATAAGTATGCTAATTTTCATTGCTCAACACGATTCCACAGTAGATTTTGGGGACCGCGATCGAAAAAATAGTCGTTCTATAGTAGTTCATCCCAATACAATTGTAACATTCGCACTATCTTGAGTAGATTGAAGGTGCAAGAGTTTGAAGCTAAAAGGTAACCTATAAGTTTATACTCTGTAGGTTAGGCCATTTCTAATTCACTTCGTATCAACCAGGAACTAAGGGAGAGAAACGAGCAGACCAATATGTATCATGATTCCTGAGATGATACGACTAACTTCAATGGTATAGATGGTTTCCTGATCATGAGCTCTTGCTAGAAATCTCAAAAGATCTAATTTCAGAAATCGGCAGCAAGGAAGATCCATCCCTATCGCAACCATTATACGACACGCTTGGTGACTGACTCGTGCACCTGAGGGTGCTAGTGCTCCACCATGATAGGATGATCTGATATGACCACGTCCACAACATGCCCGCTGTAATAGTTTATGAGCTCTCGGTGGTGTGAATATTCGAAATTCAAGCAATTTGCGCGGCAATCTTCGGCCCTGGGATCAGAGCTAGAACGCGGTGGAGGATTTAGCTTGCGCGTCCTAATCAAAGCGATTCCGTATTGGCGCTTTGCGCGGGAGTTGTGGACTCTCGTTCGATTGCTGTGGGGCTTGAACTAGAGGACTCGCATTGGCAATGTGGAAATTGGATGGACGAGTGGGATATTGTTCTAGGAAGTTAGGGCGTGCATTATATTTTACAGGTACAGATGGCGTTATAAATCACAAAGATTCTCGAAATCCCACGGCACACTAATCGTTGCCAGACGAAGAGCTTTTTCAACGCTCTGTCGTCGGAATGCCGGTCCACTCCCAACGCATATGGCTTCTTTTGAAAGGGCTACGGTGACATTAGTGGACTGCTTCAAGACATGCCGTTCCTAAATACTCACATTTGATGAAGGTCGTCATATCAATTAATGGCGAGACAGAGTATTCAAGACGGCCAGAGGAATCAGGCATGTTCTCAAAGATCGCTCTCTTGTCGCGCAGGTATCCTTGCACTCCGATGGCGTCCATCCACTCACCGGAAGCTGATTCGAGTGCGATTTGCCATATTTTAGACGAGACCTGGAGTTGTTCGTTCGTGAATGTGTTCATATTGGACTGAAGGGCGTGAAGCACACTAGCCTTGTGATCCGTCAAGGCACCGGTCTTGTCCTGAATGACATCGGAAAAGCCTGAGATCATACGATTGCGTTCTGGCAGACTCAGAACAGACCCGAAGATATGCGGGACTGTGGGGCTGTTTGGATTGTCGATGAGAAGGCGATATCCGCCCTGACAGCAAGTTCGGACTAGACGTTGTGCGATATTCCACTGCCTGTCAGGCACTATATTACTAGAGAGGAGATCTAGTGTTGAAGGGGAGTTCGATAATGGCGGAGTGATATGAGGAAATTGAACAGTGGGTGATGACATGGCGAGGTCGAATGGAAGGATGGATTGACTTTGATATGGTGGAGTAGGAGGGCCGGGCCAGCCCATAGCGGCTGATCGTATTATATCCTCGGCATCGGTCGAAGCTTCTGAATATGCGGCTGAATTATTATTTGTGGCTTGAGAGTCTTTTGCGGCCCGAACGAGGGTGAGGGCTCCCTCAGTCGGATCATCACTCCCGGCCTTCGCAAGCGACACGCATTGCTGAGTTATGGTTTGAAGAGCCGATGCGATATGTGGACATTGTGAAAGAAGTTGCTCTTCTATAAGAAGACTACTGAAGGAGAGGAAAGACTGGCTGATATTCTCGATGCCGGTTTCTAATTCGTGTACGCGATTCTGGAGGTTACCGATCGTGGTCTCCTTTCTTTTGCGATATGCCTGCTGCGCGAGCCGGAGTTGTTTGCGACGTCTCTATAAATTAATGATTATAAGCATACATATGCGCTTGGCTTGGAGCGTTGGGATATGACCCACCTCTGGTACTTCTTGATCATCGGTCACAGTTCGCGGACGGCCGCGTTTGCGACCACTCGGTTTAGCTGTGTCATCGCCCATTGTCCGGAATTAGATATGAGAAGATCGTATCTCGATTTATATTGAAATGGTGCAGCACTTGGAGTTTGTAAGAAGCATGACAAATGCAGAGGCGATGGATGATTATATGACTAGCCGAGGCATCGGGATGTTGAATAATCGAAAAATCAAGTGGATTCCCAGTGGCGGAGGCGGTTAGATGACATAAGACGTTGGCGATCGATGGAGCCATAAATACTCAGGTATATTGAAGGCTTCTATTGGTCAATTGACATTATCAATTACAATGGACCCACTTTCCTCTCCTTAATTCATACTACAACATACAACAGTCTACTTTATCACACTGAGAATATAGGGACCTGTGAAAACCAATGCGATTTTATTCTATTTAATCAATCCTTTGACTGTCTTCAATTTTCGCACCTGGGAGTTCGAGCCACGAAAGATATGCTAGTATGCGAGGTAAACCAACCTCTTATCAGGGTCATTCTCTGCCATAACGTAGCAGAAGCTTGTTGTGTCCTACATCTTTGCCTTAAGTGCCAATTAGCGAATATTTATAAACAGCAGTTTGCTGGAATTTCTGTGATATAGACGCAAACAGCGCTGCCAATTAGTGGAATACACCTGAATTTGTAACCTTGTAGGCACCTTCGCCTCTTCAACGAGTGTTATAATGCTGATCTTCATTTCCCTAGGACCGGCGGCCATAATCCAATTCTGAGGGGAGAAAAGATCAATCTTTTCACTAATTTCGAAGCTCCTTTGAGCTGCGGCCTTTTCCTCAAAACTGAATTGTCTGCTGTGCTTTTGGAGGGGGGGGGTTTACACTTGATCTTAGGTTGTCTTAATAATGTTCTTACAATACCCGCAAACAACCTTTTATCGTCAGCATCTTGGCCTACGCACCGAGACCGATCGCAGAATCACGGTGCATCATATAACCGTCGACTTTTTGATCGCTTTCATTAACTGATCGAGGATATATGCAAGCGTCCTTTGTGCACGGGCGTTTCTTGCAATGCTCAGAACTGAGGATGCTGAATTGGATACAAAAATCTAACCTTGAGTTCCCAGGTTTGGGAGGGCGTTGATGGCAAAGCTGGTGAACACATCCAGTTCAGTATTACCTCCCCCCAATAACATCATTCTTGCTTTAGTGGCCTAATTTGGACTAGTGGCACTCTGAACGATGTTGCGAGAGAAGCTATTACATCACGTCAGCCAATTGTCGGCTTAACTAATTTCCGAGTAGAGGTCTCTCTTGGCTAAATAAGGGCACTATAACCTACTGGATTATCAGGATGCTCCCTTTATCAAGATGCGCCCCATTAAAACTGTAGCCTTACCTCCATGAGGTTAGAGGGAGTCTCTCTGGTCCAGCCCTTGCCTGCCTTTCAGTAGTCTACGGAAGTAATGCTATAGTGATTCTTAAATCATCTTGCCCCTGTGGAGTTACCCCGCACGATCCATGTGTATCCTGGGAAGCTTACCCACAGTTCCCAGAGGACTAATTAGGTGGGCAGATAGACCAAGTGGGGTCAGACAACTGGCAAAGGGGTCGTGCTAGGTAGTACCTGATATGGTCTATGAGACTTCATACGGAACGATTCATTAAGCTTGAAGAAGATTGTTATGTCATTTTTTTCACCATATCTCCACTCATCCTGTATGCTGTCAGTTGAGGGTCACCTACGGATGAGGGCTAGGTCTATCGCGAACTTGAGCGCATTGTTAGTATCCAATGGATTCTATGATATTTGCAAAAGGTGGTATGAAGTGGAAACTCCAGTGTGTCAACCATGCTAGTTGGTATACGTGGTATTTTTGGCAAACGCGCCATTTAAAATCATCCTTGTCCAGAATTAGCCCCGGACTTCCGCCAGACTTCCGCCAGACTTCCGCCGGACTTCCGGTTTCCGTTACACTCTCCTAAGCCCTGCGGTGCTCCGGTGTGATTACTGAGCGCTAAGCTACTGGCTACAGATATGATATGATAAACCACAGAGGTCGAATCGACGCGTTCCGATGCGCTGATTGGAAGTAACGAATAGTGAAAGTCCCTTTTCCTCAATTCAAAGAAAAATTACCATCCCCAGTCCTTCTGAAAGAAAATGCTTCAGTCGCCGAACGACTATAAAAGGCACCATCATTCCAAACCCTGATAAGCCCCCAATGGCAAAAGTTGAGACGTTGAACATACACGTTCCTCTGGACTATCCTGTTAAAGAGTTCTTCAAGTCTGCAATCGTTGCTCTGTCCCTTTTCATTATCCCAAACCTGAAACCCAAAAGACTCCAAGTCAGCCAATATACACGAGGTCGGCCGATCACGAGGCTCAACCAATCACGAAATCAGCCTATATAATCAATTTGTCCCTATGGGACAATGCTCTTCCTACTTTAATCACCATGCTTCTGAATCCGTTCCGACCATGCGAGGGCTCGCCAACATTTCAAGAAGAGTATAGGGGCAGCTACGTACCAGCAGTTATCAATACAGGACATGGCCTCCAGGTTGTGGCGCCGGATACTCCATACGTGGCAGCGGCCGGCAAAGACAAGTTATACTTTATCGACACCCGCTTCGATGCTGAGACTGCAAAGCACGTGAAGGAACAAATCGAGAAGGCAACTGTACCAAATCCGGAGGAGTACATCGCTATAGACGAGATTTCAGCTACGGCGGAAATAAAAAACTCTGTGACCGGCGAGACGACATTCGTGTTCGACCCCTCCTATGCCAGGGTGCTGTTTGCAAAGGGAATAAACAGGCGCAACCCGGAGCTCAAACTGCCCGAGCATGAGCCCGCCGGCGATTGGCTAGTGACCTACAATTTGGAAAAAGGACTCACGGAACGAGCTAATCGGTTTTGCTACGATTTCGGCTGTTACTCCAATCAGGACTGCATACGGCCAAACACATAGCAACTGCCGGATTTGCCACCATTATAGGGTTGACAACGAGTGTGACGAAGCGTTGACTAATGCCCTCGGTGTGTGCCACCCTAAACTCTGTTCGAAGGCTGTCGACATACCAAAGGAAGATGGAGAGACGGACGCCAGCTATTATGAAAGGATGGACAAGTTGCACTGGGCATGAAGAGGTGTGGCGGGTGCGGGATTGGTCATCGATTTCAAAGAGAGCTAGGTGACTAGACCTTACTTGTTGGAATGTAGATCAATACTATATAGGTGAATGGCCCAGTTACCAGACTAACTGGGTCAGCCGGGGAATGGACTGAGCGCTATATATCATTTGAACTGTGTGAGTCGATATGTAAGTTGAGTATGCGCTCTAAGTTCTTATTCAACATAAGAAAATTGATTGGATCTTGCCGTTATCGCGTTTTGATCTGTTTCTGTTCCATGTGACTTTAAGCACTTTCTGTCCATGAATACGCGCGAGACATTAAGTAGAAATGACAGACCTTTCAGTTTCACTCTCTTCTGATTATCCTAGGTGACAAGCATGCAAGCTGGATGTCGGACCAAGCGACATTTCCGGCAAAAATGAAAGGGGAATGCGTCGGCCTGAAAGCAAATGAGCAGTAGTCGGTAGGGGCCAGAGTAAAACAAAGGGGGCGGTGATGAGTGCAAGATAGAGAGGTAGGAAGAATGAAAAAGTGAGAGAAACGAGGATGACCGGCGAAGACGGGTCTTTTATGTCAGAGGTCATAGGTCCCTATATTACATTTTAGATATTTACAACGTATCGATAGGAAGATATAACAATTCTAATAATCACGTTGGGGCTAGCTATTGGCATGTCGGAGCATAGGATACTCAATCTCGAATCAAGTTCGAAAGAAAGCGGCGACTCGTGAGAAAGACCCTCCTTGTTAGATGCGCCCTATTCGCTGCAGACGAAGTCAACATATTATCACTCATGTATCTAGTAAATTGGAAGATATTTCGATGACTGGAGATATATTAGGGCAGTCAGAATTAGTAAATCATTTAGCTTGTCACGATCATCAATTGCGATATATTCTAGGTCTTGACTCACACAAACGAGATATTTTAGGGAAAGCATTGCCCAGGTGGTGTGCTCGACATATGTCAGTCTAACAGATTAAAAGAAGTGACAAAGAAGAAAGTTATAGACGGCTAACATTATCTAGGCTCTCTGAAAAACCGTACCGCTGCACTTCTTACCCATCGCACCCACCATACACTTGACCTCTCCATCCATGTTAGACCTATCAGAAAGCAAACTAGGTCAAATTGCGCTATACTGTCCAGTTGAGCTCAAGCGAAAGTACTGTACAATCTCACGCAAACACGATACAACAATTGTTGAGAGAATGTAGATATAAGAGGCTGCATTAGCTTCCTCACTCCTCACCCATATCCTCGCTATATGCATACTCGCTAGTAATATCCTCGTCATCCCCGTTTTCGTCATCCGCATCATCGCCAAGGATGTACTCGTTGTAGATAGACTCGCTGTAGGTGTACTCGCTGGAGGTATCCGTGCTGTATGTGTGCTCACTGTGGGTAAGCCCACTGTAGGTGGACTCTGGGGTCGCTTCCTCCGTATCCATATTCTCGTGATTCGAATCCTCCTCATCCGAATCCTCACCCGAATCCTCACCCGAATCCTCATCCGTGTCCTCCTCTGTGTCCTCCTCCGTGTCCTCCCCATCCGAATAATCACTAAATAAATCCTCATCCTCATCCACCTCCGACAGGGACATGATTTTCTCAAACTCGATAGATTCCAAGTTTGGCAACTTTTCAGATAGAGCCTCAAAGCCCGCAATATAAATAATGGTTGGTATCTCAACTCGAAGATTCAACAACCTTGGGAAAAGCTTCTAGACGTATACAAGCAGCGGTTAGTTATATACTGCAGCAGAAGGATAGCCATTGAAACAAACCGGAATCCGACCAGTAAGATAGTCCCAGTGGTGAGGAAATAGTTGGATGGGCGCATGCCAACGTTCGATATAAAGTGTCCGGAGATTTGGTATATTCAAAGCTGGGGCACGGATACTCTCTTCGGTGCTCCAGCCGCGAAAGACTAGAGCAAGGTACAAAGTGCGTAAATTTGGGAAGACCAAATTTTCCAGAGCTGGCTGTACCACTGCTTCAGTCTTCTGGCTGTATGTTTTCACAGTTGCAGCCTTCACAAGGTCGGCATACATCTGGCGTCGGTCCGGGGAGACTTTTATCATGACCTCGTCGAGGTGCATCCCACCTGATATTTCGATGGAGCCCCATAATATACGTATGGCTTCATGGAACCACGTCTTATTCACCAAGGCGCAATTCAATACCCAACGTGGGCCATTCCATGTGTCTTTGGTCCAAACGAGGATTTCACTTACGATCTCTGGAAGAGCTAAAGCTCGATGGCCACTGAAAGTAACGATTTTGTCGCTCATGTTGGAAAGTAGTCAGAACTGATATTGCGAAGGAAGAAGTCGAAAGAGATGATATAGTCACAAATGAAACTAAAGTGAGGATGTTGTAAAGGATAAAGATGCTGTAAAGGATAGAATTCTCATCAGGGATTTCCTCCAATCTCACAGATGGCTCCGTAAAAGAACCATGGATCACATTTGTCTCCGGTTCCTGTTCTGATCTGTAGGGAGTAAGTCTTCTTATACTCCGTATCTCTTTTTGTTCCCTTGATTACCGTGAAACCCTGGTCCATGCCTAATGTTTGTTTGAAATGCTTGCAGTTGTCTATCTCATGATGGAGACTGTTTGTATTTTACTTTTCTGTTTTAATCCCTCATCGTGATGATCCTATCAAGATAGAGTGTACTCCGTACCAAACTCAGAGCCCCGTTGCTATTTTGGGACAGAAATCTCGGACTATGCCTATTGTACCAGCAAGATCCTGTTATAGACGTAAGTTGCATCTCTATCCTTTTTGCAATCGTACATATAATGATTCCCACATAGGTGAGAGTTATAACTGTTTGTATATATGGAGTAATAGGGCGTGTTAACAAAAAGACTAGTTATGGGTAGTCCAAGAAGCTATGAATGTATGTAGAGCACGCGTGTCTCATCAATTGGGTATTCCCATTTTGGCATCTATGAATGGTAAAGTAAAGTGTAAACAAGAAAAGAGGCTGCCTCTAACCACCCAAATGCTGCGGCTGTTTCGTTAGCCGTTGAAGTCATGGCTCATGTGTCATGTCCAATAAAAATATAAACCAACGCCGGGTCCAATGAAGTCATCAATAATAATACAAACGCTGAAGCGTACAACTCAATAAAATAACACACTCAAAAGAGCGCACAATACCTGCATATCAGGAGCTGGTGTGGTCCCGAAATCTCAACGCCAGAGCGGGAAAAGGCAACCGAATAAAAAGGCAATGCTGCTGACATAAAGCGGAAGGTAGACTGTGGGGGAAAGATTCGATATTAACGGAAGATCTAATCAGAAAGGGATTCGGGGGATTGCTCACTCATTGAGCCTCCACCTGGTGGCTTGTTTTGACCAGAACCAGACTCCCAGTCATACTGGGATCCTGTCGACGAGGCCGAAGGAGAGTCGGTCGCTACCCAGGGCCAAACATTTGGGGTTACCCAGCTCGTGGTTTCTTTGTGGGTTCCACTCCAGGGAACTGGGACGCTGTCGATGGTCGCAGTAATTAAAGGTGCGGACTCGGTCGACGTGGGCTCAGCGGCTTTGTTGCCATTGACTTTGCCTCCTTCTGCAACAATTGACTGCCATGAGCCACTTGTGTCACCATATTTGTACGAAGTTCCGGTGGAGTAATCCGTCACGGTCATTGACTTCAAATACATTTTGAAGGGGCCTTGGGTATAGTCTGTTTCACCACCAGCCCACTCTGCACAAACACAAGCTGTTAGCAAGCACGATCCAAGTAATTTGCAGGACAGTCCCACTCACCAATAGTGCCCTTGGCATTGTTCGAATCACCGCCAGCCCACACACCGACCTTGATCATCATCGGGCTCTGTGGATACTGGTTGGTGTCTGCCGTCTCGGGTGTGAGAACACGGACAGTCTTGCCATCAATCGCCCACACAATCTGGGTACTGGTCCAGTCGATGGAGAAAGTGTGGAATTCATCATGGTTTCCGGCATTGTCGTGGTAGGCGCCACGGCTATATGAAGTGGTGTCTCCTTTGCCGAAGTAATTGGTTTGCACTTGGGCGTTGTTTCCGCCCAGCCACTCCCAGTCAATTTCGTCCAAATCGTCGGACTGCAGAACTGCACTGCTCACGATTCCCGTGCCTGCTGCTGCCTTGATAGTGCATTCCACGCGGCCGAACATGATGTACCAGCCGGACTGAATCAGCGGGCCATCACCCTGCTTCGAAATAGTGAAGGTGGCACCATTCGTTGAGTCATATGTGACGGATCCAGTGGACTTGAAAGCATCCGATGCACCACTTGTGAAATCGAACGTCTTGTCAGATTGGCCAAATGCAGGATCAGCGGGACATGCTACTAGCTGTTAGTGACCTGCTGACACAACGGAAATTATGAGCCTCACTTTTCTTGGTCGGATTGCAATCCGTATAAGTCTGGGCCACGACCAGCGTGGAAGAGAGCAGGCCTAAAGCCGCACCAAAAAAGAACCGCATGGTGGGCCAAGCCGAGTATAAACTATAAGTAATGGTTGACTATTATGCAATAATGAAGATGAGTTGTTGGAGTTGATACGAGATGGGTAACAGGTGGAGGAAGAAGAGTGAAAAGGAGATTTCCAAGTGAAGGGAGTACCCCGACGGTCTTAAGACAATCTGGGCAGGTGCCAGCCTCCTCTGTTTCCGTGCCTTCCATTTTCGGTCGATCTGTGGGTCCCGGCTGTCATTGGACCAATCATATCCATCCCCGGATCGAGATTGTGCCAGCTACCGAGAGCTTCGCCACGTTGTCTCCATGGAGTTTACATGGAGTCATTCCATGTAGTCCCCCGTACATTCGACGGGTGTGCAGTTCAGATGCCAATGTACAACAGTTTTAGTGTGCACTGCATGTACAATGACTATTTGTGTGACAAACATATTCGATTAGGCATTCTTCGATCGAGAATACGTACGGGGTACGGTCCGCACTCCATACTTACAACATAGATATCCATTCGATGAGAATAGTCTCCTGAAAGAGCGGCAAGGCCCAAGCAAAACTAACAGGCGGTAGGGGACACACGTATATTAGGACCCACAATCCCAGCCTCTCGAATTTACTCTTACCTATTATTAGAGATGTGATCTCATGAAGATTTTCTCTGCATGACAGTGATTCATACTCCGCCTCCATACGGAGCCCTTGTCTCCTATCCGAAACAAATAGGTGTTAATACTAATCAATAGTCGTGGTTCCAATGTTCGGGCCAGGGCTACCTACCATTGGGCAGCCATTTTTCATTAGTTCTATGTAGCGGCCTGATGAATGATATGACTTGAACGACCAACCTGGAGCCTTTAATATCTGTAACTTTGACTTAATGGGCACTCTTCGCTGATCTAGATCTTGGTCGATATAAAGCCACCGATCTATGTAGGCGATCGATGCAAGGGCGATCCGTTGGGCACGGGAAAAACATAGACCAATGAGTCCTATTATGTTTCGATACTTATGACTTTTTTCTTTGGCTAAGTATGAAAACCGGAAGAAGAAGGAAAAATCTTCACAAAAGTGAAAGACTACTGGTACATAAGACCGTGGGCCATAAGAGATGCCGTTTGAACTTACTGTAATCAGGATGGTCGGAGTATAGGGCTATCTTTAGGACGCAAACTTCTTGCGGTGAGAGTTGTTGATGAGCTTTCTAGGCTTTTCTACGCAATCCATTCTATGCTTCCAGCTACATGTAACGCTGCTGAATGGATTTCAACATTCTCATCCGAAATTCTAACCATGTTTGACCTAATTGCCGGCTTTCTGTGGGCACAGTCCTGTCGAAAAGACTATGACTGTGAGCGGTGGTAAGGCGGCCTCCACTACTCTTCAAACCGACATGAAATCAACACCAATTCCACAGCCGAGATTCGTGCAAATATCGAGTTAGGTCTAGCTATATCTTAGGTTATAGATCAGGTGTGGTGTTGACATATATAGTTCAGAGTGATTCGGAGCTTGACACGTGGGTTTGTAACGCCGTGAGTCAACCATTTCGACTTTGAATAAGCGACAATGGGCACGGAAAAATCATGCTGCTCCACTCGTCTTGATCTGCAGGTGCCGTGGAATAGTGGTCTCCAGCGGATTGCTTTTGCTAGACCCACCTTTTAGTGTGTTGAATCATGAAACTGTTAGGAAGCTAGGTTATCCTAGTTAAATTACATTCCTAGACTCTTACATTCATACCGAGTATGAGCTCGAAGATTATGCTAAGGTGGTGTCATGACCGCATGGACACACTTTCGACATTCCGCTGTTACTAGAATAGCAAGATGTAGATGAATGGTCTCGTCTAGGAACTGGCTTAGAGCGTAGGGAGCACACTAAGGAGATATAATGTATGCCTAGGGCTATCGTTAACGACTAGCAATATACCTGCTTAGTTCAAGTCTAAGAGCGTATTTGATATCTAGATATTTCCAAGGAAAAAAAAAGCGTGCTTCATCTTCAATCGTTGCGCGATCGAGGTTACCCGAACTGGTTTTGATCTAGCCTACCTGTATCTCAGGGCTGTTCTATGGGCAGGGCTATTACGTATAGTACTGAAGCTCTGTGTACCATGATATCATAATCGATGGGTTTTATTTCGTAGAATTATCCTATCCAAAGTACTCCATATCTTTCTTATAGCTGGAATGGATATATCACAGGCCTGATAGATTGCAATGAAGGGAAAATGAGCCGTGCAACGGTAGCAATGCACTCCTTGGCAATCCGAGCTATCACCTTCCAGTGAGGCCAAAAAAAAAAAAAAATACGAGTACAACCGTGGAAATGCTACAAGGATTCTTTGTTACAGCCTCGATAACCTCGAGAGTGGAATCACCCCGGGGCGGGGATGACGGTCTAATGACTCGACTATACCCCGTAGAGGGCTATGCAATGGAAGTATGCCACACTTGTATGCTTTACAGAGATTTTGGTTACTTTATACAAGCTACTTGCGAGAAAATGTAAAAAAAAATAGAACAGAAGACTGTAAAAGTCAAGCAGAATAAAGACGGGGGAGCTCCACAGCCTAGCACGGACAGCATCACGGACCATACCCAATGAGAAAGGTTATATAGTATCTATAAAAAAACCTCAAAGAGAAGAGGTGAACAAGGGAAGAAATAAAGAAATGGAAGGGAATACAAAGAATAGTTTCAACTACATGCACCTCGTCTCCAAGTAATCTAGTTACTAGTTTAGGGTGAAGATGTTCCCAAGGTATTTTCTTAAGCGAAGTTGTTGGCGCTAAGAGCCTCATGACTTCCGATGGCCCAGTACCCGAAGCTCACACAGGTTTATTCTTCCATCTCTCCCTTATTACATGAATCTCATGTCGAGCTTCGGTCCTTTTGATTTTTTTATAGGGATCTTGGCTTTGCTCTCGATCGTCATTACGTTGATCCGCCTTTGTCACGAGTCACGACTATCCCCACTCTCCTTCTTCCCCCCCAATTAACCCTGGACCTCAATAATCACCCCGTACGCCTTGCCAGTATGCGCCCGGGTTGCCCTTAATCGCAATCACCTCCTAAGACCTCATGAAATAACGCCTCATTTTGACACTCGCGCCCGACGCTAGTCTTACAGCCTCGGTCTGCCTCAGCTTTTCATACGCCGTCCTCCGCTTTCCTCACGCCCCCGCTAGCTCTCCCAACTCCTCGCGCTCTTGGTGCCACCTCACTGATTTTCCTCGTCCGCAATTCAAATTGGATGTCCTACGGAGTGTATTCCAGCTATTATACTCTCTACCGCGTCGCCGGGTCGGCCTCCACAACGTGGCGCTAGCACCCGAGACAGCAGAATTGACAACCACACGTTGCAGCTCCCCCGGTCACCCACATCATCCGATAATCATCGGTTTTTTTTAATGCTGGACAGTTCTGAAATATCACCATATCCCAAGGTAAAGCTGGCTGCAAGTTGAACAGGGTTGCCGTGGTGGCATTCGGCCGAGTCTGAGCGCAGCCATGCCGGCGCGGGACCCCAACCAACCGGACAACCGTCAGGGTTCGGACAGCTCTGCAAATAGTTGGAGGTCGCAGGATACCGTGCGACACTCTGAGAGCTACTCTCGAGATGGAGATGAAGCCTTTACGGGAGGTCACAATGCCGACACGTTTCCCAGTTCCTTGAACATGGACCCCAAGTAAGCTTCTGTTCTCCAACGACCTGCTGACTCTCTACGCGGTCATGGCGCGTTGGATCCATGCTCAAAAAGAAGAGGCGCTAAGAATTCTTTATTTTTTTTGCCAGGCCCGACTCCTCAAAACTTCCTCGGATTGATTGGGGAAGTTCCATGTGGTCATGGAATTCCCCCGATATTTCTCCCACCGAGCAACGCAAACCCGCTGGCTTTAGCAATCACCGCGAGGCTTTGATAATTCCAAACAATCGAGATATCCCGTCTCAATCATCTGTCTCGAGTCCCCGACCTCCGCCCCTTCGCTCATCTCGCGCCGACTCCGACGAGATCGAGTCGATTGCCCCGTGGTCCACAGTCCCCAGCAGTGGTCAGCCCGATGCTAGCGGTACTTTCTATCACGATTACTCTGAACATGAAGCTTCGCCTGCGTCAACCACATTTCGTCCTGCGACCGGACGTACAATTGCGAGCGAACCCGCTGAGTTTGAATCCCATGGGGAACATCGCCGGCCATCTGCTGCAAGTGCAACCACGGTCAGTAGCCAGGGCTCTAGATCTAGTATTAGCCAAAAGTTCCGAAAGAAGCATTTGAAAGGCTTACTTGGAGATGACTATCATGCGCCTGGGGAGGATGACGATGGCTCCCAGAACCCGCCGAGCAGGCGTGGGGGACCAGTCGACCAGTTGAAGGCGCGAGAGAGGGCGAACTCAGATGGCTCACGCAATACGCCCGAGGGGTCCAACTCCTCGCAACGATCCCAAAAGTCACGGGCAAATAACCCGTTGCCCTCCAGTGACATCACTCCATGGGATTATCAGAGCTTTAATGACATCCCGCAGTATGGGGAGGCGCCAGTGCGCCATGTACCCATCGGCCCCGGTGGCCAGCGTCTTCCAACCTCGGAAAGCGGTCCTTCGGGACAGAGGGACCCAAGCCGACGGGGACCTGGCAGGCATCGTTCCTCACGAAGCAAAGAAGAGAACCCCACCCTTGCTGGCGATCTAGCATGGTCCCAACCCCGACCTGCTACTGGCAGAGACGACGTTGGACCGCGGCCGTTTAATGAAAACTACCTGCATTCGGCGACTGACATGAACGACTCTACTGCGTTTGGGGGCAGGTCGGCAAGTCCAACACCCAGTGTGCGTAGCGCATACCGAGACCCCGATCAGAACTCACAGCATCCCAGAATCGGCGGGTTCATCAAAAAGATCCTCGGGAAGTCGCATGACAAATCAAGGAACTCTTCTCCCCCACGACGCGATAGGCAAGGAAGCCTCGAAGGAAGTACTTCCTCTCGATACGCAGAGTCAGTAGATTCTGATCGAAAGAAAGATACTGGGAAGGGTCTGATGGTGGGAAGAAAGCTTGGTAATCGTCGTGTGTTCACTCATCAAGGTGGTGGTGGTGGTGGTGAACTTTATAACCCCAACAAGGACGAGAAAACTCAAGAGGAGAACAAGCATTTCTTCCATCTTGATGTCGATATGGAAAACCTGAAAGGGATTGTCCGTCCACCCTCGCCCGGGCAAACGAAGCGTGGAAGGGATGGGGCGATCACACCCGGCGACGAATCTAAATTCGAAAAGCCGTGGAATGCGCCTGAAAGTTGGCAGGTCAGGGGGCCCATTGACCCTACCTTGGAAGATCCTACCACGGAAGAACCCACCCGCGTCGGTCCTCGTGATCGTGAGACTTCGTACTTTATTCGAATCTTCCGAATTGATTCTACCTTTGCCACGCTATCGGCTGGTCCGAATGCTACGGTGTCCGAAATCCTCCTGATGCTTGGTCGAAAGTCTTTCTTGCAAGATCATCTCAACAATTATGAAATTGTTCTGCGAAAACATGATCTTTCGCGGCAACTTGACCACAATGAACGACCTATTCAAATGCAAAAGCGGCTGCTGGAACAAGTTGGCTATACGCAAAAGGACCGCATCGGAGATATTGGCCGCGAGGATCACAGTTATCTCTGTCGGTTCATCTTCTTGCCGACAAAGCTTAGCGGTTACAGCAGTCTCGATAGTGAACCAGGTTTCAACAAAGTGCAAAAATTCAGCCATGTGGATCTCCAAGGCCGCAGTCTTGTCACTATTCCAATCACGCTTTACGCAAAATCCTCCGAGATCATCTCACTGAACTTGTCGCGGAATTTGTCATTAGACGTTCCCAGAGACTTTATTCAAAGCTGCATCAATCTGCGAGAGATCAAGTTCATCGGGAATGAGGCTGCGTTCCTTCCACACAGCTTTGGATTAGCCAGCCGATTGACCTATCTGGATGTGTCAAACAACTGTCTCGAGGACTTGGATCATGCGGGTCTCGAGCGACTGACTGGTCTTGTTAGCATCAAAATGGCGAACAATCAGTTAACCAAGCTTCCCAGCTCTTTCGGCAATTTCCAAAACCTGCGAAGCCTGAACATGTCGTCAAATAGTTTCAAGGTCTTCCCTGATTTCCTTTGCAACCTCAAGAGTCTGGTTGATCTCGATATCAGCTTCAATGGCATAGAAGAACTTCCCAATATCGGCCGCTTGACCTCTCTCGAACGCCTTTGGATGACAAACAACAACTTGAGCGGGCCTCTCGATGATTCCTTCGGGGAATTAGTGAACCTCAAGGAGTTTGATGGACGCTTCAATGCTATCACCAATATCGATGCTCTCTCTAGCCTTCCACGACTAGAACAGATATTCTTTGGTCACAATCTTGTATCGCGTTTCAAAGGCTCCTTCCCGAGGTTGCGAAGTCTATATCTGGACCACTGCCCTATGACGCAATTTGATGTTGACGCCCCTATGCCAACCTTGACTACTCTAAACCTCGCCTCTGGCAAGCTCTCCCAATTCAGAGATACAATTTTCGAGAATTGCCCGAATATAACGAAGCTCGTCCTCGACAAAAATCATATTTCCTCGGTTTCGCCTCAGATCGGCAAGTTGCGTCGACTCGAACGCTTCAGCATGATCAAGAACCCCCTATCATCTTTGCCTCCGACTATGGGCTGCCTTGCGGAGCTCAAGCATCTCAATCTGAGGGAGTGCAATTTGAATTCTCTACCAGCCGAAATTTGGCATTGTGCCAAGCTGGAAATACTCAACATCTCCTCCAACATTCTGTCGTCCTTTCCAAAATGCGGTGCTCCGTACCCTCAAATTCCCGGTGAACCTGCAAGCACACCAGGGACTACACCAGGCATTGCTGAAAACCCCAGCTATGAAGATGTAGGTCCACTGGATGAACAAAATCTACGTCGACCCAGTCAAACATCCAATGGTGGTATGAATCTTGTGTCACCGAACGGGCATCGGAATCCTTCAACCGCCCAATCTACTAGGAAGGTATCGGGGGCGTCGCCATCATATACCGACCCCAACTCGGGGCATCGGAAGGACTCAAACTTCTCTCAGCAAATGGCAATGACGTTTGCGGCGTCCCTTCGAACACTTTCACTTGCCGACAATAGACTTGAAGATGATGTTTTCCGGGAACTATCTTTGCTCCCAGAGCTGCGTATTGTCAACCTTTCCTACAATGACCTGACGGAATTACCGCAAGGAATTCTCAAAAGGTGGCCATTGATTTCAGAGCTGTACCTGTCCGGTAACGAGTTGACCTCTCTCCCATCCGATGACCTAGAAGAGGGAAGCAATCTCAAGGTTCTTCATATCAACGCAAACCGGTTCCAAGTCCTACCTGCAGAGCTTTGCAAGGTCAGCAAGCTTTCTACTCTGGATGTGGGGAGCAACGGACTCAAATACAACGTGTCAAACTGGCCTTATGATTGGAACTGGAACTGGAACCGTAATCTCAAGTATCTGAATTTCTCGGGCAACAAGCGTCTAGAAATCAAGCCAAATATCGCCTCCCTGGGTCCTCCGGCCGCCAATGGTGCTGACCTGACTGATTTCAACTCCCTGACTCACCTCCGTGTTTTGGGACTGATGGATGTCACACTCACCATTCCCACCATCCCAGAGGAGACTGAAGATCGCCGCGTGCGGACATCTGCCTCATTGGCTGGCACTCTCGCCTACGGTATGGCCGACTCTCTTGGTAAGACCGAGCATCTATCTATTATTGATATGATTGTCCCGCGGTTGAAGCAAGATAATGTGGAAACGCTCCTGGGAATGTTTGACGGACAGACACTTTCCAGTGGTGGTTCTCGCGTCGCAAAGTACTTGCACGAAAATTTCACATCTACTTTCTCGTATGAGCTTAAGAAGCTGCAGCGAGATCACGGCGAAACACCAGTAGATGCACTCCGACGGGCATTCTTGGCATTGAACAAGAATATGGCAGGCTCTGCCTACAGGTCCATTGATGACCGTGAGATCCGGCAGTACCATCGAGGATCGACTGCGGCCAAACTGCTCAATCAGGACGACATTCAGTCCGGGGGTGTCGCTACTGTCTTGTATCTGAACAACATGGACTTGTACGCCGCTAATGTCGGTGATGCTCAGGCTATTTTGATCCGTTCAGATGGTTCAATGCTTTCCTTGACGCAAAATCATGATCCCGCGGAACCTAACGAGCGTGCACGCATTCGTGCAGCGGGAGGTTTCGTGTCTCGCACCGGAAAGCTGAATGACGTACTCACCGTATCGAGGTGCTTCGGCCACTTCCCTATGA